AGGGTGGGTGGGTGGGCCCTCCGGAGCAATGTACTGGAACAATACCTGGTGCTACCAGCAGGCACCGATATGCCCATACCAGGGCATACAAGTCGTATCCCTCTACTGGTATGTATGTATCTATGTATGTATGTATGTATGTATGTATGTGCGTATGTATGTATATGTATATGTATATATGTATATATGTATATATACATGGTCTCCTTATATAGACAGCTTCTTAAAGTGGCAGTAACCCTGCTGACTCATCTCATTTCATTATCTCCATTTACAGCCTTACAGCAGTTGGTCAGCTATTAAATCATCATTACCTTAACACTAGACCTTTTAATCTGAGAGCTATTAGAGCAGTTAATATAAAGCATTAAAAATAATACTAGTATAAACATCAAAATTATATTTGTTTTTAAATTGGAAGAGGAAGAAAAGTAAGTTTTGACTTGACTCCTTAAATATATCAGTATAGTCTCCATATTAGCTTCTACAAAGCAGGTATTCAGAGAGAGAGAAAGGTATCAGTCAAAACTCTTGTTTCTGTCAGTTCTGTATAAGGGCATTTAGGTGGTGGAGGGTTTGTTTGTCTTCTGAATGGTTGGACTGCAGAGACAAGAAACATCTAGTATGTTCATTCTGAAGATTAAACCAGGATTTGTAAATAACCGCACTTGCTTGATGTTTCCTGGGTGCTAACTTTATGTTTTTTGTGTTAATGCTCTGTTTAGAGGCCTGGTGTTCGTTGTTCATGGTGCTGGAGAACACTGCTGTCGCTATGATGACTTGGCCAAGATGCTGACAGGAATCAACTTTTTTGTGTTTGCCCATGACCATGGTGAGTGCCTTTGGAAAAAAATATATGGTAATAAGATTAAAGGGAATAAGTATAATATTGTAATAGATGAAGTATAGGGGGAGGTCTGTGAATATTTAGGATCGAGTGTACCCTTACCTATGGAAATTCACTGGATAACTTTCAACTAGTCACTCATTCCTAGTCCAGTCTATTTCACATAATGACTGCATGACTGAAATGAAGAATTGCACGTAAGCCACTGTGACATTCTGAAGGGAAAGTGGAATATAAATTGAATAAATAAAAAGCTAAAAGTGCTTCAGAGATAATAAAGTAATTAATTCTTGATTGTTGTAACTGGTGGTGTTCTGTCCATATATGATAATTTTGTCTAACTTTCAAGGAAAATGTAATATGAAGGCTAACTGAGATAATTAGATATGCTTATTGATTGGAATCCTGTTTATATTATGTCAGCTGAATATGGAACTACCTCTGCATATTTTAAAAGATTAACAGAGTTGGAAGGGACCTAAATGGTCATCTAGTCCAACACACACACCCCCTCAAGCAGGAGACCCTACACTATTTCTGACAAATGGCAGTCCAATCTCTTCTTGAAAGTCTCAAGTGACGAAGTGATGAATTTTTTAGAAAGGTAGAATAAAAAACATGCATGCTTAAACATGATTAAACATAGTTTAATCTAAAAATACTAATTTGCGTTAGGAGAGAGAGAGAGAGAGAGAGATTGAGATTGAGATTGAGATTGAGATTGATTGATTCTATTTCTTCTATTATCAACTTTTAACATTTTGGGGGGAAAACTTTCAACTGGTTATGAGTTTAAGGAAAACATACGGATTATTATGTTCCCGTGTTTATTTACCCAAGAAACCACAATTATTTTGTAGACGACTTGTGCTGGAGTCATATAGTTGAAGCAATTAAGTGCATCATTCGTTTTAAAGACCATCTGGGAGTGTGCACTTCAGTCGCATCTCTTCTACCTTGCCATACCATGGTAATAACATTTAATGATAATTAATGTTTCAAATTCTGTTTCTTGGTCCATCAGAAACCTACAGGCACAGATGCCTTTAAAAGCTATTACTTTGTTTCTGTTCCTTTCTCTATCATTAAAAGAAATTGTAATGAGAATTACTTCATTGGGTTTTGGCACTATATACATAGTGTAAATTTTCAAAACACAAGTTTGAAACTCAGTGGGGGTTGTTTTCAGAAGAAAGTGGCATTTTAAAAACAATATTCAGTATGCCACACAAAACATCTCTGGGATTTCTAAAGCCCACAGCTCTGTATGAAAACCAGGAGATATACAATAAATAGTGATGCTAGTCAGGTTTCACTTGGAATATTCAAATTACAGTATCTTAATAAACAAAGACACAGTTGAATGCCTTCTCTACATCTACATTTCTTTTCTTTCTTCATCTGTGCCAGCAAATCTTTTGGCATGGTTCTAAACAGAAAGATGATGGATTAACTTTATGGAAAGACAGAGATATGGCCAATTTTGTGTAAAACTACTTATTTAGTTTATTTATTTAGTGATCTTACATTATGGTTCTTCGTTCATGGTTTTGTTAGTATTTTAAAGATTTTTTTAAGCCATGTTAAAAATCAGACATTGGCAGCATAATATCTACTTTGACTTTGAGCTCCCTTCCTTGTTCTTCCTATTATTATAGATAAAGTCCTATACAAAAATTTTAGAAATAGAAACTCTGTGGAATATCTTTTTTTAAAAAAAAAAATCATTTCAATGGTAGCTATCTCATTGTATGCTGATCTTCACATCATGAATTTCAGATTTAGATCATGCCTAAGTAATTGTCAAAGATGAAGAAAGAATATATTAAAGAGGTATACAAAACTACCTAATCCCAGTTGCATAAACTTTGGCTGTTAAGCCCCGACCGGCTTGCCATACCTGGGGGGGGGGGAGCCTGCAGAAAGGCAAAACAGCTGTAGGAAGGGCGTGGGTCCAGCGGATTGCATCCCAGTTGCTACCATGACATGCCTGATAGCCTACTTGTCCTCTCCTGCATTGACTTTAGCTGACTGGTGCTAATTAAGCGGTGGCTGGAACAGCTGATCAGCGCCACTCAGAGCCAAGTCATTAGCAACTGGGAGGACACCGGAAGCGGGACTGGAGAATGCCAGATGTTGGTTACGAGGTGAGGCTAGGCTGTGGGCATAACTATGGCAATGACTATTTAGATGCTAGCACCCAGCGCTGACTTTGAAACTGCTAGAACTCATCCATGCCGGACTTTGGCCTCATTAAACCTGCAACAAGTAACCTTGTTTCCAAGTTTTCTTGGCTGAGATACGGACGTTTGAGATTGGCAGGCTTTAGGATGTATTAATAACATATATGTGTGTGGATATTTACAACCAGAAAATTGATTTTCTAACCTGATAGCCACAACATGTCTTCTTTTGAAGGCTTATAGACAGAAAGCTTTTTTTCCCTTCAGTTCTAGATGAGAAATTAAATTATACTTGGAGCTGTTTAATTACCTGAAGATTCAGCTTTCAGAAGGTTAGATGAAATTACTGAACCCACAAACTGGCTTATTTTTATTTTAACCCATGACTTAGATAACTGAGAATCTCCATAGGCAGGAAGATCTTGATATTTTTTTCAGTGAGACAAAGAATAATTCAAATATTACAGCCAACAGAAGTCTTATGAAATTGCTGTAAAATGATTTAGCATATATCAGTGTTCCATAGAGCAATGATGATTAACCTTTTTGTCGTCAAATGCCAAAAGTGTGTGTACCCGCACCCATAATGGAATGTGCTTGCAACACCCCCCATGTGCGCCCCCCTCCCCTCATGCACACATGAAACTTCCATGCCCCATTTTAGGCCTAGCAGGCCTCCTTGAAGCCTCCTGGGACCAAAAACATGCTGTGAGGTTGTGCATAACAACTCCCTGCACTCCCCCACCCCCGCACATGCGCTTCCATCTTCTGCATGTGCCCCCCCCCATGCATATGCCGCAGAGACCTGAAAATCTGCTGGCTGGCCGGAGATGCTCACGCATGTACAGTGGAGCTGAGCTGCAACTTATGGCACACGTGCCATAGGTTTGCCATAGAGGAACAGTAACATTTGTATGATTAATATGAGATTCTTGTTTTGATGTGATACTTTCTACTTGAAGAATAGGATTTTGAAATTAACTCCCCAAAACCCTTTGGATACATTTTCTCTTTGGTAGTTGTTTGAATGCAGGATCTCCTGTGCTTTGGGTGGAAGGTTGGATTGCTCCTTTCAAGACTACCAAGTATGTTCAGTTTGAAACATACTTCCAAGAATTCAGAGGTAGTCATGTATTAAAGGCATTAGAAGCTTAGAAAAAATGGTATGATGATATCTGAAAATTGTGGAATGTAATGAATAGAAGCAAGAAACGTATGGTATACTGCACAATGAGATATGTGTTATTTTTGTACATTTTATACTAAAGAATAATGCATGGGTTTTTGCTTTTTTGTTTTGCCAAGGACGATTTCACAATTTTTAAAGCTTCCTTTGAGTTAACAGTTTCTGTTAATAGACTGCACCTGGCAAAGCTATTCCATTCAGTAGTTTGTGTGAGAAAGATACAGCATTATCAAGGCATTATATTCTTGGAGTATGTTTGCAGAATGTACTGTGCAGAAAGATTTTCCCAGATTGAAAAGTCACGTAAAAGAAAATAGAGGAAGATTGCCTCATTTTGCGTACATGTGCGTTAAAATCACAGTTATTTTATATTTTAAATAAAACTTTTGAAAGAGGGAATGCTATCATGTGTCTCATTCTTTGATTCAGTTAAGCATTGAAGATCCTTTTCCTATTTCTGATTTCCTTTTAATGGTCACAGAGTTAATTCAGTGTTGTTTGGACAACTTTGGACCCCCTTTTTTGAGCCAACTACTTTACAGATAGTCCTTGACTTAGCCACTATTCCAAATTACAACAGCTCTGAAAAAGTGACTTACAACCACTCCTCAAAGGTAAGATCATAGCATCCTCATGGCCACATGTTAAACATTCAGGTGCTTTGTAACCAAGCATGTATTTACTATGATTACAATTGCAATCACAAATGTGATTACCATTTGTGACCTTTCCAGATGGCTTCTGACAGGCTAAGTCAATGGATTAATCCAGATTTACTTAACAATCGTGAGAAAATTGGGTGTGCCAATTTAGCAATGAAAATTCTGGTTTTAAGTTGGGGAATATCTGTATTCCTATGTGGCCAGTACTGCTGAAAATTGGCCACTTGGTTTCTCACCTTTTTGTGGAAGAAACCACATTGTGGAATATAAACTTTAAAGTACAATAAAATAATTCTCTCCCCCTTCCCCCAAATGCTCATTAGCAAAGCCCAGCTAGAAAAATATCAAACATTTTAGATTCATATGTGCAATATAGCCTCACAATTTATTCATTATTGTCTCTGACACCAAAAGTTTGTTTACCCCACTCTAAAATTGCAGGTGTGGGCATTGCTTGTTATTCCGTTGCCTTCCCTTATGCAGGGATGAAATTTAAAAATCTGTGGGTGTCATAAAAAGAAACTCAAAGAATGCAAGTTGTCAGGCACCTGAATGATGAGTCCATATGCTCTAAACACCTTTCAGCTACTATCAGAACACTGAAAATATGAACAAGATACATTTTACCCTATTTTTCTTTTGTAAAAATCAGAATAGTTTTAATGAAATCGTATGAATGATTTTCATTGTCATGAAACTATCACTTCCTTCCTTCCATGGAGCTCCATTACTAAGGCCTAGATTACTTGTTGCATGTATTCTTTACTAGGACTTTAAATATAAAAATGTAAAATCCCATGAGAAGCAACCAAAGGAGGTATTCAAACATACACTGAGGTCTTTTTGCCACTTTTTGATAACCATGGCAAATATATAACCTAATAGCCTCTTTTTTTGTCTTGAGTCCAAACAATGCTTCCTTCATCTTATCCCCTAACAACAAGCATTTTCATC